TTAGCAGGATTGCTGCCAATCATTTGGTCTAAGATTAATGGTAGAAGTGATGAGGCATCTGCGCCTAGTGATGATACCTGGAAAATGCAACCAATTGAAATGATGAGCAATGTTAATTTGCTGATGACCCTCATACTATACTATGTAGTTTTGGTGATCTTCTTCTTCTTTAGTATTTGATTGATGATTTTCTGTGATAATTTGTTGATTGAGTTAGGGGGTTTGATTGGTGCAATTTATATAGAGAAAAAGGGTGTACTGTTTAAGAATCTTGAAAGTTCGGAAAATGTTGAGACTTCTTGCGAAACTTCCAGCAGCTTACGAGTAAATGGAATTTACTATACCCTTCCAGAGGTTTCTCTGCATGTCTTCTGTAGAAATATAAATATAACTAATTACCCAAATATAAACACATAAAATTCAGACATTCATATTCGAAAAAAGAAAAGAAAAGACTCTCGTTTCAATTTATTTTATGTTAATTTAATTCCATATGAAATTCAAGAAAGTAAAAATAAACCTTTAAAATATTGTCTCTTCTTAATGGTTATTGGTTTACGATTTATGTTGCGGTTTAACTTTTTTTTTTATTGATTCTTATTCTCTGTTTGGATCATTGTTATCCATTGTATTGTATTGTATCGTTACTATACCTACAATATTTGTTTTGATTGTTATTTAAAATGTATTGTATTGTAGTATTAAATTTTGTTATTACGTAACAACGAAAACCCCTATTTTATGGACAACCAATTTGGTGTGTTTCCATTATTACTTAATTTCTTTTTTCAATTATATCTTTACATAATATTTCAAAATACTATTTTACCCTTTACCTTATATTATTTAATTCTAGTCAAATAGAGCTGTCAATATGGGCTAGCCCACCCCATCCGGGCTAACCCATACAAGCTTTGACATTTTACGGGCCAAGTCAGGCTAGCCCATTTTTGGTGTGGGTCAGAAAACGGTCGTCCCAACCCACAAGTACGTGGGCTACAGGCTTGCCGGGCCAGCCCATTTTTTTAAAAGTTATATATTTTTTTATAATTATTAAATTAAATTATAAATTATAATTTAAAAATATTATCATAAATATCGATAAAACAATATTACATGATGTTAATGTTACTACTTGTTAATCAAATCCACAAATAAAATTATCTTTATAATATTTATTAAGTTTTTTTCAAGTAAAAGTATAAATATCTAAATAGAAATATTAACCTAACTGTTTTGCAATTATCACAATAAAACACAAAAAATATGACAATATTCCAACCATAAAAATGTAAAAAATAAACTCCTTAAAAAATCATGAAACTTATGGCGTATCTAACACTTCATGAAACCTATGACGTATCTAACAACTTCATGATCATCTTCATCAAGCATATCTGAATCAACTTGTGGGAAGGTTGTCTTAACATCTTCATTTTCATATGCAATTTATATGAGGTTTCAATTAGTTAAATATTAAAAAATAACTAAATTGAGAATTATAATATTTAAATGTACACAAAAATATATTACCAGTTTGAGAAAAACCATGTAACCAGTTTCGAGTAGCAACAAGTGTTTGCACATTTTCATGGTGGATGCAACTACTATACTTAGTGATTTCCTAAAAAACTTTAAATAGATTTTGAGTTTGGATCTCTTTAATTTTAAATTTTAATATTATATTATATTTTTAAATTAATTTGTATTAGCCCACGGGCCGGCCCTACCTATATTTCTCAAACCCCACAAATCAGCAGGCTTATTCAGGCCGGGCTAAAAAACCCTTTTTTAAATGGGCTTCAAAATTTTTAGCCCAGCCCTATTAAATCCCGGGTTAGGCCAGGCCGGCCCAATAGGCCTAGCCCATATTGACGGCTCTATAGTCAAATCTCCTACCCTAGAATAATTAAGGATATTTTAGTAAATTTATAAATTACAATACAGTACGATACAATCAAACCAAACAATTAAAATGTTAATAAACAACAACAAACAATACAGTCTAGCCAAACATTGTTTCTACCATACAGTACAGAAAGAATGGATAACAATGATCCAATAAGGAGTGTAGTGGTTTGAGGTTTTTTCTTTAAAGACTTAATTGATAATTCATACTCCCTCCGTTTCATTTTATGTGAGGTAGTTTGACGTTTAAGAAAAAAAGGAAGACTTTTAAAATTTGTAGTTCAAAATGAAGGATAGAAATTTGTGTAACTATAAATCATTTCATTAAGGATAAAATAAACATTATAGTTAAATTGTTACTTATTATAAAAATGTGTCATTCTTTTTGAGACTGACTAAAAAGTAAAGTAAGTCACATAAATTGAGACAAAGGGAGTAGTCAATTAATAAATTATAGTTATACTCATAGTATTATTGTTTTTAATTCTGATTGTCTTAAATTTTGGATTATTCTACAATGTGCAGTGTTTGCTTTTGTCCAAGATACAATCTGTCAATTTATATGCATGGTTCATTTGCTTTATTTACCTTTTTTTTTATCAAGTATTTTTAGTTATATTTTTGTGTGTCGAATTTGAAGGGTTAAATTGAAATGATGAGGAACGTTAATTTGCTGACAAACCTCATACTGTGCAGTATTGATGATCTTCTTCTTCTTTAGTGTTTGATTTTCCGTGATAATTTGTTGATTGAGTTTGGGGGTTCGATTGGTGCAATTTATATAGAGAAAAAGGGTGCAATGTTTAAGGATCTTGAAAGTTCGGAAAATGTTGAGAGACTTATTGCGAAACTTCCAGCACCTTACAAGTAAATGGAATTTACTATACCCTTCCAGAGGTTTCTTTGCATATATCTTCTACAGAAATATATATATAACTGATTACCCAAATATAAACACTTAATTCAGGCATTCAAAAATTCCAAAAAAATAAGAAAATACTCTCGTTTCAATTTATATTATGTTAATTTAGTTCCATATGAAATTCAAGAAAGTAAAAATAAACCTTTTAAAATATTGTCGGTTCTTAATGGTTATTGGTTTGCGATTTATGTTGCGATTTCACTTTTTTTTTTTAATTGATTTTTAGTGGTTTAAGGTTTTCTCTTTGACGACTTACTCTCTCCGTTTTAAAAAGAGTGTCCTAGTTTGACTTAACACGGAGTTTAAGAAAATAAAGAAGACTTTTGAATCTTGTGGTTCTAAATTAAAGTTATGTCAAATGTACAAAATTGCTCTTTAATCTTATGATCTTAAACATGTCATGTGGAAAGCTGAAAGTAAAATGTTACCAAAAAAGGAAAAAAGTCATTCTTTTTTAAAGAAACTAAAAAGGAAAGGATGTCATACTTTTAAAAACGGAGGGAATAATTGATAATTCATAGTAAATTAATAAATTATAGTTATAGTCATATTTATTGTTTTTAGTTTTGATTGTCTTAAGTTTTGGGTTATACTACAATGTGCAGTGTTTGCTTTTATCAAATTTACAATCCGTCAAATTATATGCATGGTTCATTTGCTTTGTTTACCTTTTTTTTTTAAGTGTTTGTTAGTTATATTTTTGTGTCAAATTTAAACGGTTAAATTGATAACCAAATTACCAATAACAATTAATAACCAATAAATGAATTATTTGTAAGCCAATATTTTAATAGTTCATGAAATCAATAAGCTTCAACATTGTTCCGAATTAATGATACGTGGCCCTAATTAAAACTAATGTAAAACTAGATATTCCGACGAGGCGAGGACCTTCAAAATTAAATAGATAATCTGTAATTGATAGTGAAGTAATGTTTTGGGAAAATAATATTTTGTGTGGGTACAATAAAACCTCTCCAAATTAGTACTCGATAAATTAATAAATTTTTTAATTTTTTTTTTTTTTGATTTTGACTTGAGCCAACGGAAAAAATTATTGATTTCAATTATGAGATAATATATATGTTTAGAAGACCGTTATATAAATAATATGGCCCCATTAATAGTATAAATTAATAATTTTTTAAAATTACAAAATATCTAAGAAAATTTAGTGAAATATGATTTATAGTGTTTTTTTTTTTTAAAAAAAATTAAATCTAATTAAGGCCCATCTCTAATTTTTCTTATTGCATCTAAAACTTCTGGTGTTGTCTTCTTGAAACTGCACCAAATTATTGTCAAGAGTTCTAGACGTGAGTGATTTCAAAAGTATTGTATCGTCTTCAGCATCATCATCCACATTATTCTCTCCGAGGGTATCCACAATTTTTCTAAGCTTTGAACATCTAAATATATGTATCATTTTCACTCGATCGGTAATCTAATAAACTATTAACATCCATTTTATTACGTTAATTGAGATTTTAATCGTGACCTCAAATTCATGACTATCGTTTACACAAGAGGTTTCATTTAAATCATTGACGCTTCATCTTGCAACCGATATATAATCTTTATTGAATCTTGAAAATATTCTTTAAATTAATAAATATTAATTTATCGCTTAAATAATACTTTTATAAAATAATAATATTTTATAATCTTGTTAACCTTAATTTAGAAAGGTTTTACTATATAATATTAATCAACCTACCATACTTGGTACAATTGGAATTGACGGAGTATATACTAATATAAAATTGTCCCTTTTCCTTTTTTAATATAAACTAATTACTAATGGAGACGGAGAAGAAACCTTCCATAAAAGTCTTTCCTATACGTAATAGGAGAAGAAAATTATTATTATTAATTACTCCCTACTAATTATAGTTTCTAAAAAAAAGTTACTCAAACGCATCAAATTCTACTATATAACCATGGCAAAACATATTACTATTTGGTTTAGTTATTATTGTTTGATCGAGAGCAAGTTTAATTCACTTTGCTCATCTCAAGTCAGGTAACTTTTGTTCTTTTTTTGTTTTCAGATTTTGTAATTTTATTTTGTTCATGATCTGATTATTTATACACCAAAAAGTGCCTTTCGATGGTTTTTCTTTGATTTTAATAATTATGTGTATGTGCATTTTCTTGAACTGCAGACAAAATGGGAAGATCAAAAATCAAAATTGAACTTATTGAAGATCACAAGAAGAGGAAGTCTACTTTGGTAAATCGGAAAGCTGGCTTAGTCAAGAAAATCTCGGAACTCTCAATACTTTGTGACGTCAAAGCATGCATGATCATTTATGAAAGAAATTATAATCATCAAATTTGTCCAAATGATTCAAATGATGTTCGAGAGCTAATAAATCTCTACAAAAAACAGTCACTCGATGGCCGAACTAAGAGGGGTAAGACCTTGTCCAACTTCTTCGAAAATGATGAATAGTAAAAGGCTGAGATCAATGTAGAAAAGTATCCGACTTGGGATTCAAGATTTGACTATTTATCTCAAAAAGAATTACAAAATCTTGCTGGTGTTGTTGAGAAAAGGATTGAGAAGGCAAAAGGAAAAATCGAATTGTTGAAGAGCATGAATGATCAAGATCCAAATATTGGAAGTTCCTCACTTTCTCATCAACAAATATGGAACAACAACTTGATGAACCAAACTACTCAATGGCCTATTTCTTATGTGAATCCTTTTACTGATTACAACAACTTCTTTCAAGCAAATATTCCAATTAGTGATGTAAATTCAATGGGCGCGGGAATGGATAATGGACTTCTTACTATCGATGATTATAAATTTAACAACGTAGATCATTTTACGATGATTGAGACAGGAACTTGGTTGGCAAATAATGGAATTGGTTCAAGTTCAACTATGCAACCTATGATGAATAATGGAACTGATTCAAGTTCAACAATGGAGTACCCTTTCATATACAATGGCTATACTCATATGCCTAATGGATTTCAGTAGATCAAAATACATTTTGCGTGTAATTAATTAGTATATTATGCAGTTCCTCTTTTGTTTATTTTGTTGAAGAAGTTGGAGCAAACAAATTAGGAACTGTTTGTTTTGTAAGAGTAATATAAACTTTGGTGCGTCTAGTTGCATTCTCTTTTGTGCACGTACTAATTACCCTTTTGCCAATATCTGCTTCTTCAAGTCGATGTGCCACTTAAAATTGTCTCTATATTAAGATTTGTGTTTTTTATGAAAAATTGCAACTTTTTATGAAGAGTTGTGACTTTTTCGCAAGGTTGTGATTTTTCAAAGGGTTAAAGACCTTTCTGATAAGGCACAATAAGCACATGTTTTCGCACTATTCTTTGTTGTCTATAAATAGAGGGGTTTCCTCTTATTTTTCAACAATGAATTTCTGGGTACTTCTTCTTCTACTACTAAATCTAGTATTTTAAGTGTACTTTACTGTTGTTGAGTGGTTCACTGACACTATGGTTTTAGGTATTGATACACCAGTGAGTAAGATCATTCTATCCTTTGAGGATATATTCCATTAACATCGGGTACTTGAGGAGAATAATATCATTAATTAAGGAAACATTGTGCATTCATTGAGCTCGATTTTCTTTTTTGAGAAAAATATTTTGTATATTATTTCTAATCAGTTTCAGATTCTATTTTCTTTACCGGTTTTAAGTTTCTAGTTTTGAAAATACACTTTAAAACTTTGTTGTTTCCTACAAAGTTCTTCAAAGTTATTGTTCTAAATATCTTAGGAATACAAAATTAACAAGTATGTTGGCAGAGTTGGCAAAATAATCACTCTCCAAACTTAATTGAGCATTTAGACACATGAAGTCTTCAAAAATTTGAACTTTAGACACTAAATATGACATCACTCAATATTCTTCCAAAACATACAACACCATACTCTCAAGTTTTTAATACTACACTTTGGTTCCCACTCATCCAACAAATGTGGGATTGTTTTTTTTTTTTTCATTTATTAAAAACAATTCCACTGGAGAAAATCTCTTCAAGAAGAAATCAAAATGCTTCCTTTTTTGTAGCTGATTTAGTCGATTATGACGACTTTTCCGACGATATTATAGCTTTCACAGGTGAAATCATCTTCATTCTAGTCATTGCTTCCATTTTTATACCATTTTCTTTCAAATAGCTTCAAAGAAAAAATTTCCCGCCATTTTAGAAGCTTGAAAAAATCTTCCAAAATTACTTCATAACTCATTTTTAGATAAACTTTAGTAGTTTAGAAGGACCATAGATACATGTTCTCCATTTCAAGAGCTTGATCTAAACCCGATCTTGTTCATTCACATTTTGTACAGATTTCGTACCATTCATTGACTGCTAATTACTGATATCGTAATCTAGTATCTATCAGTGTAGTCTATATATGACAGTAGTTGAATTTGTTGTTGCTGGTGGTGATTATATGGGAGTATGGGAGGAGACTCCCAAAAGTTGGTATTGGAAATCTTTTAGTAAGACGATAGTGCCCATTGTGTTGCGTTGCAATGGTTCATATGATGATATGATTGCAAGTGTAATTAAGGCCGGTGAGTTAGCCTGCGAGCCAAGAAAGTTGATGATAAGCTATCAAATCAATGGAAGGGGAAAATACATCCCACATTCATAAAGAATGATAGGCATGTGAGCTTGTACATGATGGATATTGCTGCTGATGGCTCTAGGCCTATATTGAGAATAAATATCATTGTGAGGTCTTTGATTGAACCAACGAATTCATTTAATGACAACGACTTGGTTGAATATGAGAACTTGGGTGATAAACCAAATGAGAGATTTTGTGATCAATCAAATGACAGTTTGGGTGATGATTCAATGAATAGGTATGATCATTCAGTGAATGTTGAAGATCAGCCCGTAGATGCGGAAGATTTTAAACATTTCAAAGAAGTGTAGGGAGAGAAGGAATTAAGATCACAACCCAACCATTCTTTCTCTAATGGAACTAATTTTTACTTGTATCAAACATTCAGTACTAAGAGTGAGCTACATTGTTATTAACCAAAGCAGCGACGAGAAAATCTTTTGATTTTGCTACAGTGAAAAGTTGTACTAAATACTTAAAAGCGAAATGTGTATCTGGTATTTGTGAGTGGATGCTGCGGGCAAAGAAACATGAGTGTTCAGATAGATTTTGTATCTATAAGAATATTGGCGATCACAGTTGCGGTGTTGAACATACCATCAACATCCATAGAAAAATCTCGACCAAATTCATTGCGTCGCTTTGTGCGAATCTTTATGGTGATGGCAAGGGTCCAAATGTTAAATAGATTCAGAGAACTATTTTTAATTTTTGTTCATTGTAGTCCAAGCTATTGAAAATGTAGGAAAAGAGGTGTGACTGCCAAGAAAATGGTTCGAGGGACAACAGAACACGGGAATTCATGCTTACCATAAATGATCGACACTCTTAATGTTGGTTCTAGGCTTTTAGCTATTGTATCATGGTAAGCGGGGATACTTATAGATTTGTGTATTACTTCTTAGCTTTAGGTGCTTGCATTAGGGGAATTTTCACACATGAGAAAGGTAATTGCGGTCGACGACACTAATTTACATGGTAAATATGAGGGAGTATTGCTGAGCGTTATTGCACAAGATACGGAGAATCATGTTTATCCAATTTCCTTTTGTATCGTGGACAAAAAGAACTATGCATATTAGACGTTCTTCTTTGAGAAGTTGAAGGATATTGTGGTCGATGAATTAGATTCGTGTTTTATTTTCGATAGACACAAGAGCATTGTCAATGATATTGCAAAGGTTTACAATCATGCTCATCATATATATTGCATGAGGCACCTCGGTGAAAATCTTCAGGTGAATCACCCCTATGGAGATTCCCTCTAATTATACTACAATGCAGCAAAGGCATATTCTTTGGAGGAATTCAATGATCATTTTGCGAAATTCAAGGAAAAATCCCCTGAGGCACCCGTCATCCTTGAGCATGAAGTTGGTTTTAGAAAGTGGAACAGAGCACATTTCCCAGGCACCGGGCATGATGTGATGACCACAAATATTGCCGAGTCACTCAACACTATGTTGATAGATGAGAGAGAGTACCACGTGGCATCCATATTCAATTTGATTGCTAAGAGATTTGGAGAATTGTTCAGGAGAGGCATGCATATGTCCTTAAATCAAAGGCTAATAAAATGGTGTTGGCTGCCGAAAAGATCATAAGAAAAAAATGATCGAAGACGACTCCTTGTATGTGGAGAACATAACTGGGGATGACAATCAATTTACCGTGTTCGGCGTAGGTTCTACTTTCACCGTGAACCTACTTGAAAAGTCATGTTAATTTTGTAGGGAATATGACTTGGTCAAGATACCGTGCACTCACACAATGGATTCTTTGAGATCAAAGCATGGCGATGAGTATGGTATGAACATCTATGATTATTATTTGCCTTTATATAAAGCTGAAACATACCTCCTTGCATACTCTGAATCTATTAATGTTTTCCCTATCGAGTCAGAATGGTGTGTGCGAGAAGAATTGTTAAGCTTGAATATTCTTCCACCCCTTGTCGATAACAAGCTTGGAAGGAAGAAAAGAAAACGTGTCAAAGGTTTCTGTGAGAATTTCAAGAGCAAGAGAATGAAGGAACAAAGGTTCAATTTGCAAAAGATCCGCACACAAGAGAACCACATGTATGAAAAACAACAAATCTTAGATAGATTTGACTAACTTTGTTTTTGTAATTAAGCTACTGGAGATCTCAAGCTACTGTTTATTTTGGACCCCAATATTTTGGTCAATTTAATGCCAATTATTATCGAATATACTCATGATCTAATATAGATCAATCAAAAGATGACATACATTTTGTACACTGTCTATTAATGTTTATTATTGGGTCCATTCGTTATTTATTAAGGTGTGTATTATTAATATATGGATATTTATGGTATTGTAACAATGATTTTAATGTATGAATTAGAATGTAATTTTCCCCAAAACATTTATTTTTACATTTTTTCCCAATGAAATTGTGAATTTTCCTCATGCATGCTATTTTTAATGCCTAAAATCAAACAATGCATAATAAATAACCTATGTATAACTATTCAAACATATAACTAATACAAGCCTTACTTAAATATACACTTTACCAAATGACACCTTAAAGAATTGTCGAAAAATCAGACGTTGACATAAAAAAGTTGCAATTTGTACTTTGTTACCGTTGTAAAACTTGGATAATTGACTATTGTCACTGTTGGTCAAAATATATAGATAATTAAGACAGTTGATACCTTTTCATGTGCTTGGTTTTGATTGTACCACCGACATCTACACTTTAACACTAATAAGGTATATACAGGTTGATATCATGATAAAAAAATGACCTATACTGCATCTACTAGAATATGGTGCTTATATATATAGACCGTTGCTAGTATAATTTAAAAGGGAGAATGATTAATTAATAATAAATTATATTTTTGATATTTATTTAATTAAATAAGTTTAAACAAGTCATGTAAGGGTCCACATACATTGGGGTGGTGATAAATGATGTATGAAAAAGAGTTGTAGTTATACAATCAACATCTTCACTGTAATGTGTGAGAAAACACAAGTATGTTGGGAGAATTTCACTTGTTCAATCACAACTCTTCCCAAACATCATGTAAGGGTCCATACAAATTGAGGTGGTGATCAATAATGTTTGAGAAGATGTTGGAAAGTTTGTAGTAGTAAACCATGTGTATCGTTCTTGCTCCGTGATGTTTATGGGCCTGTAGACTTGGGTAGATTTTATCATTTTGGATATGCTAAACTTTGATATTATCTTGGGTATGCCTTGGTTGTCTCACTATCATGCTTTTTTGAACTGTGATTCTAAGACAGTAAGTTTAGAGATAAACTAGAATGGGAAGGTTTAGACAAACCTAAGCCAGTAAAGATCATATCTTATATCTGCACGAGAAGGTTGTTGGGA